TGGCTATGTTTAAAAAATAATTTAAGGTTTGTGACCAGCCTGGGCAAAATAGTAAAACCCTGTCTCTACAAAAATTTTTTAAAAAATTAGCCAGGCATGGTGGTGCATGCCTGTAGTTCTAGCTACTAGGTAGGCTTTGGCAGGAGGATTGCTTCAGCCCAGGAGTGCCTGGAGACAGAGCAAGACTCCATCTCTAAAGAAATAATAACAACAATTTAAGCCACAATTTCTTCTCTGGGAGCATTTAAAAATTGGTTGGGAAGAATGATTCACACTTTAAAAATTGGTTGGGAAGAATGATTCATACATATTGAACAATTTGAGAGTAGCAGAAGATAGACTATGTTTAGGTGGTTAAGAGATGTGAGGTTCAATGACCACAAGTATTTCAAGGGTTCCTGGAGAAAGTGGAGTTTGAGATAAACTTTGGGTTATAGATACAAAAGAAAAAGGGAGGGACTTTTTCTGCTTCTTTAACTGCAGCATGAACAAATGCTTGGGAGCAGGAATAAGCTTGACATTGGAAAAGGCGTGGCTCTAAGCATGTGAGCTACAGTCAGGCAGACATAGGTCTGAATCTGTCTCTGTTACTTGTTAGATTGATGGCCTTGGCACTTTTCTCTATCCTTTCCTAGGCCTCTGATGCTTTATGTCAAAGCAGGGGAAAGTAGCATCTGCCTCAATGGGCTATTTTAAATATTGAGTGGGAAATGTGTATAAAGTGCTAGGCACAGTACTTTATGCATGTGATGGTTAATACTGAGTGTCAACTTGACTGGATTGAAGGATACAAAGTATTGATTCTGGGTGTGTCAGTGAGGGTGTTGCCAAAGGAGATTAGCTATTTGAGTCAGTGGGCTGGGAAAAGGCACCCACTCTTACTCTGGGTGGGTACAATATAGTCAGCTGCCAGCATGGCTAGAATATAAGCAGGCAGAAAAATGTGAAAAGAGAGACTGGCCTAGCCTCCCAGCCTACATGGGCTAGTACTGGAAGGCTACCAATGGAATATATATATATACATATAAAAATATTATGATATGGCTTTCTATTATATATACATATTATAATATATAATGATTATATTTTATATATATAATTATATTATTATATTATTTATATATTATATAGATAATGGATATTATATAGATATAATATCTATTATATAATATATATTCTATAATATATATATTCTATTAGTTCTGTCCCTCTAGAGAACCCTAATACAATACAATACTCTCTCTGTATATATGTATATTCCATTAGTTTTGTCCCTCTAGAGAACCCTAACTAATACAATGTGTAAGAAGCATTAAAAAACTACTGGCCAATAATGGTGATAAATAATCATCAAAAATGGCAACTGGTTCATGAGGTGACCTAGAAATGTGGCAATCTATGAGACACTAGTAGGTTGATATTCCAGAAAAAGCTTCTAGAATTCAAAAACAGGAAGTAATAAAGATTTCAGATGGAAGGCCATGCCTCATATATCTCCAGTGTTTCAATCAAGTTACAGAGGTGCCAAATCTGTTCACCTGCTCAGGCAGGCTCTGAGGTGTTCTGCTGATGGCCAACTATCTGGAGTCTTTCAGGGGAAGGCTGCCCACACCCCTTTTCTGTTGGTCTAGTGCAAGGATTGACAGATTTTTTTTCTTTTTTCTGTAAAGGACCAGACAGTAAATATTTTAGGTTTTGTGGGCCATGCAGTCTCTGTTACAGCTCCTCAATCCTGACATTGTAGTGTGAAAGCAATAGACAGTACATAAATGCCTGGGTGTGGTTATGTTCCAATAAAACCTTATTTATAAAACCAGGTGGCAGATTTGCCCTCATGGGCTACACTTTGCCCACTCCTGGTCTAGAGTTTAACTCTCAGAGGACAATCTGAATTTTTATTAGTTATGGATTTGTTCCACAATACCTAGATTCAAAACACATCATAATATTTTCTTTTTATTTTTTAACATTAAAATTTCACATTTAAAAGTTTAAATTATAAAACAGTTCAAATATCTTTACATTTTTCTAAATAAAAATTATTCTTGCTTGGGCCATACTCCCCATGGATGGTTACAAATTCAACTTAGTAATGTTTTCAGGACAAGCCCGTACTCTCCCTGGGGTCATATTAATAACCTATAGCATTTACATGACTGTAGGGGGTAGTGAAGACTTGATTCTCTTCTTGGTGGTTACCTTTGTCACTATTACCTGAAATCCATGACTGCTTCTTCCACGATGCTCTAACACAGGGCTCTTCTTGCACACTGAAGCTCCGTCATGTCTCTTTTCATGTTAGGCACTTAGTGCCCCGGACCCAGGGACATCCCTCAGCCATCCTCCCTCTGAGGTGTTGGGTTTATCTGCCATTTGTAGGAATCCCCTAAGCTACCCTTTCTGTTATCAGAGAACCTCCCTCTGGTGGTTGTGCCATCCTTTCTTCTGTTTCACATAACTCAAAGCACCAGACTTCAACCACTCCCTTCTGGGACAATGCATCTTCATTTGCCTCATAAGAAGCATCTGATTTCCATCAGCTCGGGGTGGAGGTGGTGAAAGTGATGGTAAGAAAGGCTCAAACTTCTTAGAAACACAATAGTTTGATGAAGTGGGAGTTGGAGAGAGGGTTGCTTCCTTCTGTCCTAATGAATTAACAAGAACAATGTAAAGCAAAACAAAACAAACAGAAGCCACCAGTTAGGTTTTTCTCTGAACTCCCAGGTCTCGGGAGGGGTATCTCATTGTGGTTTCCAAGTCCCAGCCATCTCCAGAATTGGACTGTATGCCAAGGAAATGCCACAGAAGCTTTCAGGAAACTGTCAGTCTTGTTGGAGAAAGGGAGCTCACACACAAGGCGACTCTTTCACCAAGTGTTACAGGGGAAGGAGTTGTCAGACCCGTGATTAAGGCATAGTCCCAATTCTCAAAGAACTTATAACAAGACATGCACCCAAGACAGTCAAAAGGCTGTACAGTTCAGTGGGTATGTGATTGAATGGGGAGAGACAGCTATGTCTGCCCTGAACTTGGAAAGCTATTCTAAAAACCACCCCAGAAGGGAAATGCAGTTCCTACAGCTGTTCTCAAATTGCCTCTTTGCTCTGATGACCTCTTTATGATCTAGAGACAATCTGCCCGAGAGACTTTGCATGTTTTTCACTGAGTAATGTGACAGGTGCTACCACAGTCTGAGAGGACAGAACGGCAGCTGACAAAGGGGCAAAGAATCCACGGCCAGGCTTGCCTTTATCTATTAGATACTTGTTTTTTTCTGTGGTAGGGGCTGAGGGAGGGGGTGAGGTTGGTCAAGGGATACATTTCCATTAGATAGGAAGAACTGAGAGATCTATTGTACAAAATGGTGACTACAGTTAGTAACAATGAATTGTATTCTTGAAAATTGTGAAGAGAATATATTTTAAGTGTCCTCACCAACAAAAAAAAGTTATGTGAAGTAATACATATGTTAATTAGCTCAACGTAATTCCACAGTATTTACATATTTCAAAGCAACATGTTGTGCATGATAAATATATAAAATTTTTATTTGCCAATTAAAAAAACTAAGTTTTAAAAAGAGAAATATATATGATTTTGTTTCATCTCAGCAAGTCCTCTGAGATGCCTGCAAGCCATAAGATGAAAAAGACCCTGTCTGGGCGCGGTGGCTCACACCTGTAATCCCAGCACTTTGGGAGGCCAAGGCGGATGGGTCAGCTGAGGTCAGGACCAGCCTGGCCAACATGGCGAAACACCATCTCTACTAAAAATACAAAAGCTAGCTGGGCAGGGTGGCATGCGTCTGTAATCCCAGCTACTTGGGAGGCTGAGGCGGGAGAATCACTTGAAGCCGGGAGGCAGAGGTTGCAGTGAGCTGAGATAGCGCCACTGTACTCCAGCCTGGGCAACAGAGAAAGACTCTGCCTCAAAAAAAACAAAAAACAAGAAAACAAAAACCCAAGAGCCCTACAGGGAGGCAAACATCTTGCTCCTTTTGACACATGGTATGATACTCCCCAACTTGTTAGCTACGTGATTTTGGGCAAGTTAATTAATATCATTGTACCTCTGCTGCTGCAAAAAAAAAAAAAGTATAAAAAGATTCCTCCTTCACAGAGTTGCTCAATTATTAAATTAGTTAATACATATAAATGCACTTAAGAGTATTTCCTAGTACATAATAATTATTTGATAAATACCAACTATTATTATTCTGGCCTTTTCCTTCTCAAATTTATTTCTAAAGAATAAACAATCTGTAATAGGGTTGCAGGCCAGCCTCTAATAAATGAAACAGCCTCTAATAAATGAATAGATGAGGCAACCCTTAAAAACTTAAAGGAGGTAATTCTAAGATGTGTTGAAAATAGCATTGTCTTACACAGCAAGTATGAAGCATATGGAACTTACTATCCCAGGAGCTAAGCCAAAAATGCAAATAGACTCAAGGAGAGGTGAAGTAAAATTCTGAGTGGTAGGACTTAAAGTGAGGACATGCCAAACTTCTGAGGGCACAGAAAGCAGCTGCTGTTTCTGTTTTACCCCCTTGGTGCCAGTGTTAGAAAGAGCAGGCTGAATTAAACATGAGCCGGTCTTTAGCAGAAACCTGTTTGGGTAGAGTTTAAAGAAGTGGGTGCTTTGATGGCTGAAGCTTTCTAGAACTCATAGCTGGAGGTCTTTGACCTCTTCATTGTAGGTTAAATCCCACACATACCTGCCCAGAGACAGCGTTCAGTAAGTTTTTTTTAAATTTCATTTTTAAAATTCAAAAATAATAATTGTGCAGATTCATGGAATATATGGTGACGTTTTCATACATATATTTTGGAGTGATCTGATTAGGATAATTAGCCTACCTATCATCTCAAACATTTCTCATTTCTTTGTGTTGGGAACATTCAATATCCTCCTTCTAGCTGTTTGAAACAATGTAGTATTGTTAACTGTAGCTATCCTACAGTGCTACAAAACACTAGAACTTAATTCTTTTATCTAGGTGAAGTTTTGTATCTTTTAACAGAATCTAAGGTTTTGTTGAGTAAAAGAGATTTCCAAACTCTTGGACCCATTCTGACCCCAAGGAAGTGAAAGGAGCCATTTTTCAGGAGTTTGGATGGTGGCAGCAATATTTTTGACAGTCTGGCCCACAGCCATACTAATTTACTAATTCTTCTGCTGACATGGCCCTGAGTTTTGAGTTTGTTTGGGTATCAGGGCAAGTATTCCCAGGGCTTGCTTCATGATTGGTCTAAGCAACTGTGTTCATCTCATTCCCCTTTCCAGTAATCGTTTTAGTCATAGTTACATGACCCAATTCTGGCCATGGGGACATGAGGAATTCAGCAGGGAAGCTTTTAGAAAAGATTTTTTCTCTCAGATTTAAAAATAAAAAAATACACGGAAGGAGAAGTTGTTTTAGTCCTTCCTACTTTCAGTACTATCATGTGAGGATGTGATTCATGGAACTGCTGCAGCTTTCTTGTGAACATGAGGGAAACTAAGAAGTTCAGCCAGGGTCCTGACATTGGTGAGCTACAGAAACAGCTTTGGGTAAGTATTCTTCCGGACTTTGTATGTGAGATTGCTAATTAGCCCTATTGTTTAAGCCAACTTTAGTTGGGTATTCTGCTACTTGCAGCCAAAAGCATCCTAACTGATGTGATTACTATGTGTGTTTTGTTCACCACCAATGCCTAGCATGGGGTCTGGCATATAGCTAGAAGCTCAATAATTGTTTTATGAATTAGCGAACGATAGCACTGTTCAATCTTACTGCTGGGTCTACTCTGGCTATGCTCTGGCTCTGGTAGAGAAGTTCTGGAGAGGTCCCAGGAGTCTATCTGATCCTGGGTTACCTGCCTGGAGTCCCAGCACTTGGCTGCTGGGTCTTTTTTGGTTCTTGACAGGTTTTCCAGGGTTGGAGTTACGCCCCTGGCCAGTGGTGACTCATAGTTCTCCCTGACACCAACCTCTGCCCAGACTGTAGAAGGACAACTTGCATATCTTCTGTTGCTGAGTTCCTTCTGGAGAGAAACTACATGTTACCTTCTGTTGAGCTGCCTTGCCATAGACCTCCTGCCTCGATTGCCAGGTTTGTCTATTCGCATACCTCTGGAAACTGTATTCCTCCTGTGTGCCTGAAGAGCCCAGCCCCCTCATCTGTATCTTGTCCAGGTCTGTAAGTGCTCACTGCTCCTGGCAGGTGTGATTTGTTCCCAGCACCCAAACCCTGGTCTAGTTTGGTCTATCACAGACTTCCTGAGCTCTGGAAGGAAGGCTTTCCTCCTGATATACTCAGAAGCCGTTTCTGTCTTATTACCATCATCTGACAGAGTTTGGTCAGATGCTAATGAACAGTGACAACAATTGTTTCTTCTGCAGGCTAGGAAGCCTCACCTGCAATTGTGGAAATGTCAGGCAGAAGTTGAGGTAAAAGAGGAACAAGAAAATTATCTTCTGCCCATTGTACACTTCTAAGATTAAACAAAGAGTCTAAGGCTTTTTGAAACCTGTGTACAAGGACATTTCAACTTCATTGTTTGTAAAATCAAACAAAGTAAACTAATTTTCATTCCTCAGATTCTTGAGAATTCAATATGGTGAAGTTTTTTGGTAAATATGGCCAGCCAAAAAGGAAACCTACTCAAATGCCCACTATGAGTAGAATGGTAATTCAGCTGTGGTATATTTGTCCAATAGAGCACTACATCAATGAGAGTGAATGGTCTCCAAACATGTGGATAAGCTTCAAAATATAATACGGAGTTAAAGAAGTCAGATGCATACATAGTATATGATTCAATTTATTTAAAGTTCAAAACAGGTAAATTTAATGCATGGTATTAAAAATCAGCATGGTGGCTACGCTTGTGGCAGTGGGGGCTACTAGAAGGGAACAGAAGATGGGCTTTTGAGATTCTGGTCGTATTCTGCTTTTTGATCTGGGAGCTGGTTACACATGGTTAGTTCACAAAAATTCAATAAGCTGTCCACGTATAGTATGAGCCCTTCTCTCTCTCTCTCTCTCTCTCTTTTAATTTAATATAAATTAAAAGTTAAAAATAATTACATGGCCATGGAAACAAGCCTTGGATCAGAAACAAGCAAAGATTCACAGAATCCTAGTGCCAAAAATGAGCTCCTTCATTTTACAGAGGGGAATACCAAGTGGTCAGGAAGTCCAGTGAATCACCCAAAGTCACACTAAGGAGCCAGAGATCAAGCCAGACATGGAGCCCGTGTCTGATTCTAGCCGAGGGCTCTTTCATTGAGTGGGCATAAAGGAAGTTGGATTGTGGCAAAAAATTTAGTGATGTTTCCTTCTGTGCATCTTTTTTTCCTTTTTGTTAGATGTACTTGAGATACATAGTTTTAGGGAAATGTTTAGGCATAGTTACTTCTAACAAACACTTTTGTTGCTTAATGGGTATATGGAAAACAACACAGATAGACAGGGTCAGAGGTTGCATAGTGCCCTACTCTCAGAAGAACCCTAACCTTGCTTTGATGCTCTGCCATCACCATCTTGAAAACCTTACCAATTTTTAAACAATGGGCCCAGAACTTTTCATTTTGCACTGAATTCTATAGCTTATGTGGCCAGTCCTACAAATAAATGCTGCATTGTTTGATGAAGAAGGCATGCAAGTCAAGTATTTGTAATCAAATCTATTTTAAATGAGCAAGGAGAATTTGTTATTTAAAGATAAATCCTATACAACAACAAATCAGTTTTATACAAGGAGTAATCCCCTAATTTATTTATTTTACCACTAAATTTCAGTACCACCAGTTGACTTAAGAGATCAAATAGAAAGTGAAATAATAAATAATCCTAGAATAGTAGAATTTAAGAACTAAAAAAGGATCCTAGAGATAATCTCATCCATCCTCTATTTTGCAGATGGAGAAAATGAAGTCTAAAGCAAGGGGGTGATTTGCAAAGAAATTTACCATGTAGATAGAAACTAATGAACCTTGAGCAATATCTGAAGTCCAATATCTGAAGACTCAGTGATACTTGAAAATTTCTGGCCAAGTTTCTGGAGCACTACTTCCTTTTGCCATCCCACAATAAGTCACCTAGGCAGGCCAAAACATTAAACTTTGCTTAATGCAGAATCATTTGCTGGAAAGAAAGCATACAGGGAAATTGATTATATTTTGTGTAAAATAATTACCTTAATGTAGCATGTGCCATATACAATGTTCACTTGTAAGCAGAAATGACTGTCAGAATGGCTCTGCCTCAAACACAGTTTGTTAGCATCAACTTGACCCAACTTGGTATCTTCCAGATGCAGATGCTGGCATCAGACAAAGACTCTGGCATGTATCTGGGGCCCTAAGCTTCCATCTCAATTCACCTCTGTTTGTCTTCACTGAATAGATTTAGGCAACTGGGTCATGGCTATGTTCTGCTTTAGGGCAATGGCATTTCTGCAGCCAGAAAAACAAAAGAATGAAGTAAAGTTGCAATTCAAGATGATGAGTGTACAGCATAGATATGCAAAGGGTAGTGGGCTAGTGGGGCTACCTGGTGGAGCATGGCAGGAGAGTGGGGAGCAAAGTAGGGCTTCATGCAAGAAATGAGTCTTAAAGGATGTGTAGAAGTTAACTTGATGAAGGGCCCAGAAGGAAGATGGCATGGCAAGTAGGGCAAAGAACTCCAAGGGAGAGTATGAATAAAGCCAGCAAAGGGTTTTCAACAAGAAGTTATTGGTGCTTCAGAAAGATTACTGTGGACAATGGCTACAGGAAGGTGGAGGGCAGGATGACAGGCAGTGGTCCAGGTAAACAAAGGTGGGAGTCTGAACTACGATGCCTCTCACTCCTTCTCAGAGAAATAGTCTGGAAACAGTGAGGAGGAAAAATTTTAAGGGCTTAGTCATCTCCAGGGGTGGAGGCTAAGAGAAAAGACCAAGAGGCTCTATTTTGTTGCCCGGGTGGTGTTGATATAGTAGTTTGGCTGACACAAGCATTGAAGGAGGATAAGATTTAAAGAGAAGACTGAGGAATTCTTGGATATGTGAGTTTCAAGTGCCTATCGACCATTTAGGTGGATAATTTTCACCATTTCAAGCAGAAGCATTGAACTTTTTCTTATTTGCCTGAATATATGTTTGTGATAGTTGAACGAGTTCAAAGCTCACATGTGAATATAATATGCAATATCACACATCTTCATTTCAAGTGAGCATGCATATCATTAGGTATTCATTTTTAAATCATGTCTAAATATAAGAGAGTAGGGAAGTTAGAATACAATTATATTGCTAGAAGGAGCCGTAATAATCATATTCTGCGTAAAACAATTTGAGCTCCCTGAGGCTGAGTAGTCCTCCGAAGGGCTATTAGTAGTCCTCCCTCCAGCTATTAAATGGAAGAGTTGGGACTCCAACCCAGTTCTCTATCCCCTGCCTCTTGCTGCTTCATCAAGGTATTGAAGATGGCTGCAATTTACAGTCTAAAGTGTGCTATAGTGTGTTTACCATGCTAACCTCCCATTTGAAAAGAGAGCTTTGAAAAACTTCCTGTCTCCATTTTTGCTTCTCACCTAGTCACAGTTTTATTTATTCCTTCAACTTCAGGCCTCAACTTTATCCCCTGCTTGTTTTCAAGTTTCTTTGAGAAGTGCCTTTGAGAAAGTCCTCATGAGCTGACGTTGATTCCATGGTTTCCAGTGAAGTGGGAAGCTCACCGAGTACTATCACTCATTGTGGCCTGTTTGCCTTCCTTTACTCTCAGAGTGGGCAGAGTCTTGAACAGCTGGAAGCACAGGGAAAGACAACGCAGCAAAACATTGGGTCAGGTTTTCCTCCCAATCATACTTTTCAGAGAGAGAAAAACATGATCAGAATCCAAGACAAGCAGGTGTTCTGCATCTACTAAGAGGGCTTTTGAAGCAACTTTAAGGAATAGTTTTTAAATAATTCTGCCTGGGCCTTCAAATCACATCCCATCCTAAATTTTAAGAAGCAAAATTATTACGTGTCATTGCAAATGTGATGATTATTAGAGCCAAGGCTTCAATTTACATCAAATGTATGTATATCGAGGGTGCCTCATACCACCCATGTGTCCAGCAGAGTTGTACCCAAATTATAGAAATCAGCACAGAAAATTTCTTTCTAAAATGATTATAGATTTATAGTAGAATATTTGCATGATGGGGCAAGTTTCTCTGCCCCGGACCATCATTGCCTTGCTCGGTACTTTCTTCTGATGGGGAAGGGAGTTTTAAGCATAATGTCTAATCTAAGTTATACTTTGAGAAGTCAATATTGACAAGATTTTTGGCTGGTTCTGCCAGGCCCAAAGAGTTCATATTGTAGGTCCTGTCCAACGTTGCTCAGTCATAGGTTCTGTTCTTCACTAGTGATACTTCCACCCAAGACCTGGAACAGAACTTTCTAGACCCACATTACAGATGGAGCAGAGTTTTTCTGAGCCTGACATTGTGCAGACATCTGTTCTGCGGGCCTGCCTGCCTGTCACTCTGCTTCCTGCTTAGGCATCAAAACCTCAACCTTAACAGGCATCTACGACTTATACCTGGAGGGCTTCACAGCTCTACCTCCCACCTTCTATACTGTCTAAAGACTCCTTTGTTTCTGATTCCTGGAAATTTCCCTTTCTTGTTTGCATGTGTATTAAAGAAAAACTGCTAAGCTCTGAGCATTCAGCCCATTTATTGAATGACCCCAGGCCCACTGGAAATTCAGGCAACCAATTGTGGACTTCTTTGAAACCAGATTTCCCTTTATTACAGAAAAGGAAAGGAAGAATTTACATTCTGCCTCATGGGCCAACCAGAGACCTGAACTCAGAATCTTGCCTTCTGGGTGTATGTCCTTCTTTTTGCCATATCCAAGTTCTTTCCATTTCTGCTTGGAGAGACCTGCTGAAATCACACTTGAGGGAGGCATTGTGACTCTCCCTGACCAGGTACAAAATAAATCCAGCTTTGTTTCAGGCCATGTTTGGTGGTCTGTTGTTTGTTACTGTCCAACACAAATCTATTTTTAATTTAAAAATATATATGGACATATATATATAGTTATATATATATAACTATATAAAAAACTATATCTATCTATCGATATACACACACCAGTCTTTTTGGTTTTTTGGAGCAGTTTATTTGTTTCTTTGGGGATGGGATGGGGGTGGCTTATACATCTTTAAGTCTGTCACCTTGTCTAGAGGTCTGAATAATTTCAGCATTTGCAACATTGGCTCCCATTGTAATAACTCCACAAAGGTCCTCAAGGTCAGGAGAGCGTGGACAAACATAGATGAATAAGGAGGGAACACTAAAAGTGTTTTTCCTTTGTGTAGAAAGGCTGTCAGTGCCCAGGCCAAGGTCACAGCTTTGCTCTTCAGCCCAAAGTTGCAGAGGCAGAAGGGCCACTTTCTGTGCAGTCAGGAATCTGGGTTCCTACCATCAGCAGCCATATGGGTTTGGGAACATTCGTCAGCTGGAGAACTCGCTGAGATGGAAAAAGAAACTTTTCACAGGACAGCCCAAAATATTTTTTAAACTTATGGAAAACTGGTAGTGACTTTCTCCATGTGCCAACTGCTGACGTGCATTTTTGTTTAAAGATATACCAGGTAGAAAAATAGTGAAATGTTTCAAGGAATACCTCAGCTGATGAGTGTTGGCTGTTCTGGGGGCTCACAGAGGGCAGTGTAGGGATTGAGGCATACTTTTTGATGTAGAAGAAAAGATTTGGAACAGTACTGACACACAGTAGACATGACATAAACTCAGCTATCATTGTAATATACAGAAGAATGATAAAATCCCACAGGTTCATTTAGCTGAGGCGCTAACAGCAGTAGGTGTCAAGTACTCTCACATTCCAATGTGAGTCACTAAACTAGCTAGAACATTCATGTAGACCATCCATGTTGCAAAGGGAGTGGCTGGAGCCTGGTTCTGCCAGAGTCAGGGAGGTTGAAGATTAAGTAAGGGAGAATAAGTATTTCTTTAGAGAGAATTGTCAGAGGACCGTGGAGTTTCCACTTTCCAGGGAATAGAAGTATTTCTCCATCACTGTGACCCAAATAAGGAGGATGTGTCAAGCAACTACCCAGAGAGCTTCCCCTGCATCTTCTATAATTTGGGGATATGAGGACATGTGTCCGATACACATCTGGAAAAATCTATAGGTGAGAGGCTGTAGCTAAAGAGACCAGAGCTGAAAAATAGAGGCAGAGGGAGGGAGGTCACTTTTGGGGGGGAAGGTAGGAGACAAAGATATGGAACCCTTGGAAGGGATCTTGCTTTAAGTTGTCTTGAAAAGGACACTTCCCAAGAGATCATCCTTTCTGAGGTGAGGTGAACAGGGCAGAGAGAAGCTAGAGTACTGCTACATGCAGAAGCTGAGGGTGGAAGGGGAACCGGAAATGGCTGTCAGGGAGGGACAATATCACACCAGGGAATTACAGTTGAAGCCGTCTGGAGAGAGAGTGAACCAGGATAGGGCAGGGGAAGAGGTGTAGTGCGTGTTGTATGTGTGTGGTGTGGTGTGTGTGGTGTGTGGTGTGTGTGGTGTGTGTGGTGTGTGTGTGGTGTGTGTGTGGTGGGTGTGTGTGTGTGGTGTGTGCATGTGTGGTATGAGTGTGTATGGTGTGTGTGGTGTGTGGTGTGTGTGGTGTGTGCGGGGTGGTTTGTGTGTAGTGTGTGTGGTATGTGTGTGGTGTGGTGTGTGTGTGGGATGTGTGGTGTGTGTGGTGTGTGTGTGGTGTGTGTAATGTGTGGTGTGTGCGTGTGTAATGTGTGGTGTGTGTGGTGTGTGGTGTGTGTGGTGTGTGCGGGGTGTGTGTGTGGTGTGTGTGTGTGGTGTGTGTGTGTGGTGTGTGTGTGTTGTGTGTGGTGTGTGTGTGGTGTGTGTGGGGGTGGTGTGTGTGTGTGGTGTGTGCATGTGTGGTATGAGTGTGTATGGTGTGTGTGGTTTGTAATAACTCCACAAAGGTCCTCAAGGTCAGG